AAATTTATACTGTTCATATAGTTTTAATATTTTCTTACTTGTGGGAAAACAGTTGTAATACAGTTCTTTAAGGCAATTTTGTCCACAATATGAGCAGTAATAACATTGCACTTTCTCCTTAATTCATTTACTTCATCTTCATCAATATGTAATTCTAAAAATATAATTACAGCAAATATGTAAAGTATATATACATATAATATATATAGTAGATTAATCTATTGCTTTTTTACCTTTTTTACCATTAAGATTATTTATATTTAATTTGGGATTCCATGTTATTACTACTGTTTTTAAATAAAGCAATAGACAATCTTGAATATCAAAACCGAAATCTAAGCAAAACTCTTGAAACAAGGAAACCATGTCATCATTATAATTCATAGTACGTTGTAATATTTCTCTTTTAGTTGTAGTATCACTTGTTAAGATTTCTACAAATATTTTTTTATAAGTACATATTTGAAATGTTCGACAGAAAAAATCCGTTCAAGTAACAAGTTAATTACAACCTTTATAAGAGACTGAATACTTAGATAACTTTTGTGCCCAAAAGTGCAATGCTTTGTTACTTTCAAAAATTTTCAAAAGTGTTTCATTTTTTATTAAATGAAAATATTCACATCCAAGCATTGTTATTCTAAAATGCCGAGTGCAATCTAGCTGAAATCTAAAAAAAACACCTTTTTCTCAATTGCATCTCTCACATTTATATTATTCATAATACTTACGACTTGCTCGAAATAGAAATCCATTTACATGCTTCTGAATCAGATAACATGAACAAGCAAGATAAACTAAGCTGAAGATCAAATGTTCGAGTACTAATTATTTTTTTTAATAGTGTTATTAAAAGATGAAAATATACCGATTTAATTTTTATTAATAGCGTATTATTTATATCTGGCATAACACAAGAATTGAAATACAAAGTTTTAATGATTTGCAACAAACAATAATCGTTATGTTCCACTTTCTTCATCTTATCAAAAAATTCCTCCAAAGGTTGTTTTATATTTGACTAGAATATTATAATACTATTTACTCCATATTAATAAACAAAATGTAAAGAATTACATTATATATTACATAAATATTTACTAATTACCCAATTGCAATTTTGAAACTGTTGCATAAATATTGCATTTCTAAATAATGGTAGTAAAAATTGATCTGCTGCAATAGCTAAATCTTTATATATTGTATATAATTTCCAATTTGTTCTTGGTATTTCATCATGTTTTGTGAAAAGCCCACTGTACTACAGCCATATTTAAGATTTTTATTAGAGCATTCCTGATACAAATTTACCCAAGAATATAATAATAACATAGACTGCAATTCATCTAAAAGTTTATATAAAAAGTATTAAATATATCAAAAGTTTGGAGGTAGTCCAACAGTATCCATACCATCTAAACATACACATAATGCAGAAGAACATAAGTTCTGAATTATAACTGCAATATCTGCATCAATTTTAGCATGTTGTAATATTAACAAGCATATTTTATATACATACTGACATTCATCTGTCATTAAATTTAATTGTCCTTCATCACATCTAAATAAAAATAAATATTATAGAAAAGTTTTGGATACATCAAATGCATTTATATATATATGTATATAAAACATTCACTTACCTAACGAAATAATTTAACAAATCCATATTTTTTGTCCATTCTAATAATAAAGATATAGCATCAATTCTTTGTAATTTAAGTAAATCTGCAACTTTAATAACTTTTTTATATATGATAAATAAATTTTCATCTCCTTTCATATCCTCTAAAACGTCAAAAAATTAATACTATAAAAAATGATTAAATTTGTAGTATAATAAAAATTGTTTACCTACCATTGTACAATTTTTCAATATAATTCTGTAATACTTGCTTCTTTTCAATTTGGTATTTTCTAAATGTAACATTAAGTTGAAATATTTTTTTTAAATGATACATTGATGTTATTTCATTTATACTATTAATAACATTTTTGCAGTAATGTGATTGCATTTTACATTTTTCTGAAAGTTTTTCCAATTGTAATTTCACCCAACCCAACATCTCAGAATAATGTATAAGGGATGCAGGTATAGTCTGAATAACAAATATAAATTTAAATAACACCTTTTCAATTATGGAGGATATGAAATATTTTTTATATGAAGTTACAATATTTTAAAGTACCTTTAATGATAAGCTAGCTGTTGTATAGTTGACAATTTGTAGACAACAATATAACAACACTTCATCTTCTAAGCAGTTTAATATCTTCATTACACTTTCAAAATTCCTACATGATCAGTTTTCTTATTAACTAGTTTTAAAATATTATTGTTACTTATGTTATAGCATCAAATTATCTTACCCTCTAGACAAATAGTAATTTATACAGGATGAAAATGCTTTTCTTCTCAATAATAAGTCATTTTTCGTTATTTGTTGAATATCTGAAATCATGCTGTCATAATTTTTCCTTATTATGCGATGTATTAATTTCTGTAAGAAGATAAATTTCAAGTATTTATAAAACAGGTATATTGCAAAGCTTTTTTTTAAAAAAACTTTACTGACATTATTTATACCAGTACGTTCATATCCGTATTTTTTTAATACAAGTTTTATTGGAACATAATTATATTCTATTCTAATCTGAGATGTTAAACTATGATCAAAATTACTACTTCTTTCTGCAAGAGTTATAATACTTGAACTCCATGGAACTGTAGCTTTCTTTAATACCTCTAATATTTGCTGTAATTTGGTCTGAAATACAAATATGTTTATCCAAATTACATTATAATTTAGCTTAATATACAAATCCTTTTAGTTTTACAAATATACCTCTATATTCTGTATTAAATCTATAATAGCAACTACTCTTATCTCCCATGGAGCTTCTTCACCAGACCACCAACTTTTAGAATTTCTCATAGTTTTCTATAAAAATATAATTTTAATCAATGTTTAAAGAATTTATTTATTCAAATTTAAACATACCTGTATATAAGTAGAAAGAACATAATCATTTTGAAGGGAATTATTTAACATATACTGATTTAAAAATGTATTCACAAAATTTGGAATTATATCTACATGTATTTTATCCAGCAATACATATGATACTTCCATAGGATCCCCAATATAAGAATCAAGAAACATTGTCAATCTACAATTTTCATATTTTGTTATTCTAATATGTACACATTTTTTAAAATTATAATTATTAATATTACCTGTAATTAACTTTCAGGTTTTGAATATCAGACATAGCTTGCATCAAAAAAAGAAGTTGTTTCAAATTGGAATCTTTGTTTAGACATTCTTGATGAAAATATAAAGATTGATGACTTTCTTCAAATTTCAATAATTTTATAAATTTGTTTGTAAAGTCAATCCCAATTTGGGGCCATTCAGAGTTATAAAATTGTTCAAATGATTTAACTTTTTTACAACTCCAGAGAATAATTTCATGCATTGCATTAGGGATAAAAGATAACACAGTGGGTATAAAATGTGATAACCATGGCCAAAGGGTAAATGGAGCTATTTTCTCTGGAAGAACTGCAAATATATCCTTTATAGTTTCTACAGATACATGTTTTATTATATCTGGAAGATGTCTTGTCCAAATTAATGTAGCTGCTTCCATTTCTCCCTGTGTTTAAAAACTTTAGTCAATTTCATAAAAAGTTTATGATTAAATTCGTTAAATGTCCTACCAAACTCAAATATGTTTTATATTCCTCCATAAAATTTGTCCGTGAAAAAAAAAAAAGAAAATACAGCAAAATTAATGCGTGTATTGCCACTTAAAAGTTACTTACAGCAATGTTTTCTGTTATTCTTGAATGTGCATATAAATGAACTTTCCTCATTTGTTTATAATCAGGTATAAGTGCTTTGCTACAACATTCTACTATATATTGCACATTCTCTATTTTATCAAGTATACTAAGAAGCATATCTAATTGAGTAGAAGAGCCAGATCTTTCTTTTGCCCAAGGTCCAAATTGTGACAATAGCAATGCTGCTTTTGCACAATAAATAGGTTCTGTACATAAATCAAATTTTTTTGCAAAAGCTTCAGCTTCATCAAACTGTTCTCTCCTTAACAAGCGTTGTAACTGATATTCAGGAATACTTTCTGATATAATTTTAACTCTGATTGTATCTATATATTTAGTACCACTGTTAAGATTATTAATTCCTTCCAGATATAAAATTATTTCATCACAAGGATCCATAATTTCAACAAGGGATGTTATAATTGGAACATTTATCTGAAATTTTTCTTGAAAATCTGTATAAAATGAAAGAATTACTTAATAAAACAAAAACTTTAAGTAAACTATATATATAAAATTAATATATTTCATACCTGGAAATGAAAGAACATGTAGAGTATATGTAGTACAAATATTACCAGATGTTGTCAACACAAGAATTTGACATAAACTATTATCATTATTTTCAATTATAATAAAATCTAATACAGATTTAAAGAACATTTTTACACTAAGTAAAGTTTGTGGACATATCAAACATAATGTGTGGTCTATACGTAAACCTAGCATTGCACTAAAATGTAAGTAATGCACTAAAGTAATGAATAATTTAACCATTTTATTGTTGAAAAGTAATATACTTACATGTAATTTCTAAAAAACTTTACTTTGGTATAATTCAATGTATTAAAATTATTATATTGTTCACTAGGCCACATAAATAACATATTTGAAGATAACATAGCTATTGAGACTCCTTTATTTATCATACCTACAGTAGCATATACTACCTATAAAACTTATATTAGTATTTGTACTTAATAAATAGTATTATGAAAAATAAAATATATTAAATAATGTCTAATTGCAAAGTAAAATATAACAAGTCCTAAAATTTAAACATGATTTACCTCATTGTAAGAAAATCCTTTAAACAATTGCACACATGTAACTTGCTGAGTTAGTTTTTTTAATGTGTCATTAAATGTGTCATCAGTTTCAGTTATAATAGCAGACTGAATAAGTTTAATATTAAATTTTGATATTCTAAAATATGGTTTCTAATTAGAATTTAAATTTCATAACAATTATCTCTTATAATTATTTCAAATAATTACCTGTAAATAGCTCCACTTTTTGCAATAAGATATATGTTAATACATTCATCAGATTCATTTTGTAAAAATATTGTTATTATTGTATCTTCATTCTTTGTAATATTTCTATAAACAGAAATTATATAATTTTGTAATATAATTTTGAACACTTGTATAACATTGTAATATAGAACGGTAAACTTACTTAGAAAATATTATTTGTCCCTTATTTAATAAGTGAAGACAATATAACATTCCATTTGACAATATAACAAACAAAAATACACCATCATGAGAAACGCAATAACATGTTATTAATAAGCCAAAACTGACACTTAATAATATTTCCTCACATGTTTCATTTTCAAATATAGTAATGGATTTATCAATTGCTACACAAACTCTTGAATATTGCACAGATGCTAAAACATTTGGCTCTTCTGTTACCTTGTAAAAGTAAAAGAAACGTGTCACATATATTTATTATATATTAAATAAAATACTAAATGTAAAATGATATATATAATTTTAAATATGACAAGTTTATATTTTTTACTGTACCTAGTAAACGTTACATACATTTAAAAATATTTGCAAATCGGTATATATTTCATAATATATTAAGTAATAAATAAAGAATGTCAATTTAACGCTTAAACACCTGATCACGCGTTAATGCGTGCTTTTGTTTGCGGTACTTGGCGTATTTTATACACTTCAATTGCCGGGTGTTTAAGTGTTTAAAGGTTTCATTCGTGACCAGGTGTTTAAGTGTTAATAAATAATGCATAAAATAAAATGAAAACATTTTGGTTCATTACAATAAATATGAATTACATTTACTAGACTCGTTTAAAAAAGTAGTTGCAACCGTCAAACTTTAACGTACAGTTTAGTAGCTGAAATTTGTTGCGATAAAAATGAAGTTAATATTAATACCTTTCCGTCAGATTGTATTGTAGCAATAGTAGAAGTTTCGTATAATGAGCCATTACTTTCTGCTATTGTCCTTGTTCCAAAATTTACAGTTTCTTCTTCTGTATCAAATCCTGACTTCACTTTGTTCCACAACGCCATGTTACCCGCGAAGCATTTATGAAATTCGTTAGCACTTGCGCAGAAAGATTCAGTATATGTTGCCCTCTTTAAAATAGTAGCACGCACTGTCATAATAATATACGAATAACCTAAAAAATTGTATCGAAAAAAAGAACAATAGTAAAACGTTTATTTCAATAGCGCAAAAATTAACTTTAATTAATTTTACTCAATTTTTAAATATTTATTACATGTACACGTAAATAATTTCTAAAATAAATAGTTGTTGAGCTTTTGCAACTTTTAAAAATGGACATCTTAAAAGCAGAAATAATGAGAAAAAGGAAACAGTTAGAAGAAAGTAACGTTTTGGTAATTTCTACAATTAATTAATTGCAACTTTTTAAATTATGTTATTTAATTTACCAAATCACATTAATATTGCAGCAAAATAACAAAAAATATTTTAGAAGAGGTGAATTAATAGCAAAGGATCAAGAAGTCAGAGAAGTACAGGAGAATAGTGATGAAGATATTAAAATTAACACAACTCAACAACAACAAGAATCTGTAACTGATGGTAGTTCTGAACATTTAACATTACCTAGACATGAAGTGATTAAAAGATTACGTGAAAGAGGTGAACCTATATTGTTGTTTGGAGAATCAGAAATAGAAGCATTTAAACGATTAAGGAAATGTGAAATTCTTGAACCTGAAGTAAATAAAGTAGGTATTTGCATTAAAAATAAGCTACAAGATTTTCTAGAACAATTATATATTTTAAATAGTTTCTGTATTTATTATATCTGTTATATCTTAATCCTATGTTTGGAATTAAAGGGTTTTAGAAATGATTTTCAAGAAGCTATGGAACAAGTAGATCAAGCATATCTGAATGAAATATTAGCTAGTTCTAAACCACAAGATCGTGATGGAAAAGGTGATGTGAATGTACCAGATGAAGGAGTTACTTATGAAGATCTGCAAAAAATGTCTGTCAAGTTAAACAAGGGTGATAGGGATTTTGATTTGAATGTTATTACACAATTTATACAATTCTTAGTGCAAATGTGGGGTAATCAATTAAATAGTAGAAGCACTGCTGAAAAAATGAGTACCAGAGGAAAAATGGCTAGTGCTACTTATGCCCAAACAAGAGAATATCTAAAACCTCTTCTTAGAAAATTAAAAAATAAATCCTTACCAGAAGATATCACTGATAGTTTAACTGATATTGTAAAACATTTACTTGAACGTAACTACATACTGGTAGGTATATAGATTAATAAGTAATGTGATCTTAATTTAATACATTTAGTACAAATTTATTACAGGCAAGTGATGCATACTTGCAAATGGCAATAGGAAATTCTCCATGGCCTATTGGAGTAACTATGGTCGGTATCCATGCACGTACCGGAAGAGAAAAAATCTTCTCAAAAAACGTTGCGCATGTAATGAATGATGAAACTCAAAGAAAATACATTCAAGCATTAAAAAGGTTAATGACTAAATGTCAAGAATATTATCCTACAGATCCTTCTCGTTGTGTAGAGTATTCAAAAACATAATATTTTTATACATAATACGTATATAGATAATTATTTTATAAGATGTCATATATTTAACATTGTACATTAATATACTGTTTCATTTTCTCTTGCTTCTATTATAACTATGGCATATGTACAAAGGAACTAAAATTGTTTCTATTTATAATAAAAAATCGACAGATCTACATTTGAATATTCATTTTCATTTGAATACTACTTTATAATTATTTTGTACTGTTCACATTTTCAAATACTCTTTTTTATTTTGTTTCTTTTATATCGAACTTTACTTTATTGAAGAAGCTAGTTCGTTTGATTTCCGTACTGCAGCTTCAACTGCATTCATCATAGAGGCTCTAAAAATATAATTAATAATGTTATTATAGTGTACTACTACACAATAATTTTATGTATATTTTACCTGACTTGTCCACATTCCATAGCATGAACTCCTGTAATAGTTGTACCTCCTGGAGAGCATACTTCATCCTTTAACTGACCAGGATGTCTACCTGTTTCTAATACCATTTTACCAGCTCCAACTAATACTTGAGCTGCAAATTTTGTTGCCATGGGTCTTGGAACACCCATCTTTACAGCACCATCTGCTAAGGCTTCTATAACTAAATATGCCTGCAAAATTTTAAAAAATTTAGTACTTATCTTTACAAAAAGAAGTAAACATACAATAGTGATTTTATTTACATAAGCAGGACCAGATCCTGAAAGACCTCCTATAGCATTCATAAGAGATTCAGGAACATATTCAATGACACCAATATATGAAAATAATGTTTCAATTATAGTTTCATCTTGATCCGTTATATTCATAGCACAATATACTAGACATTATAAAAATATGAAAATATAAACAAATTATTCTTATTATTAATATGTATGCTCTGAAAGTATTCTTTTACCTGTTATTCCTTCCCCAACCATCATTGGAGTATTAGGCATACATCTAACTATTTTAGGAGATGCAACAATGGATTTAAGCTTCTAAAATACATTACAAGTATTCAATCATTTTTATAATTTTTGTTATCAACATTGTTATAAACAATGATTCTTACATTAGCTAAAGTGTCTAATGTGACTCCTACTAGCACTGAAACAAACAGCAGTAGGTGTGAAGCCTTTTTTGTCATAGTTAATACCATACCCTCAAGTGCATTATCAAGCATGTGGGGTTTTACTGCCAAAAATATGATATCACAATTATCTACTACTTCTCCATTTTTTAATGTAGCATGAGCACCTAGGTCATTCCAAAAACCTAAAGTTCTATTTGTACGAGCAGAAACCCATACATTATCTGGATTTAAAATGCCTAAAATAAAATGTCAATTATATTATTCCCACATAATTATAATTAATTGTTAATTTTATCATTTTTATTAGAAAACTTTATTACCTTTACGAATTAAACCAGCACCAATAGCACTTGCCATATTTCCACCACCAATGAAACCAACTTTGGTTGACATTAAATCACATTTATTCATGTTTATTTGCAGATGAATTTAATAAGATTTGAATGTAAACAATCTATATTATCTGTAATTAAATTTACAATGAGTATTTTCCTTAAATTATATAATACACTATAATGTATTTTTTAATTTTTTTCAAAG